AAGGTTCAGGTCGTGAAACTGCAATTCGAGCAATTGAAGGTGCAGGCTTTGATATTCTTTCAATTCACGATATTACTCCAGTTCCTCATAACGGGTGTCGACCGCCAAAACGTCGAAGAGTTTAAAAATTTATATTTCTAAGAATCCTCGAATGAGTTTAAACTATGACTCTGAATAATTTATATATTAAATGTTTGAAATCAGAGAAAATTGAATCTGGCTCAATGTATGGGCAATTTTTAATAAATTCTTTACGTCCAGGACAGGGTATAACAATTGGTAACCTTTTAAGAAGAGTTCTTCTTAGTGATTTAGAAGGAACCACAATTACTGCTGTTCGTATTGCTGGAGTTCGGGATGAATTTTCCATAATTCCAGGAGTACGTGAAGATATCTTGGAAATTTTATTAAATTTAAAAGGTATTGTTGTTAAGAGTACAAATAATGATGTTTCGTTTGGACGTTTAAAAGTTAAAGGTCCTGCCGTTATTACAGCCGATTCAATTCAATTACCCTCAAATATTGAAATTGTAAATCCAAATCATTATCTAGCAACAATTTCGACGTCAAATGTTCTTGAAATTGAATTTAAGTTTGAACATGGTACTGGTTATAAATTAGCAGGTCAAACATTTTGTGAAAAATCTGAAGATTTTCTTCAGATTGACGCAATTTTCATGCCAATTCAAAAAGTAGATTTTAAAATTGAAAATGTGTATGATAATTCAAATTCAATAACAGAGCGGTTATTCTTAGATATTTGGACAAATGGAAGTATTTCTCCAGAAGAGGCTGTTTCTTCGGCATCTAAATTTATTATTGAATTATTTAATTCATTAATGGAAAATAAATTTACTCAAGATGTAGATATCTTAGAAAATTCTAATACGTTAACACCAGTTAATCCTCATATTAATATTGCAATTGAAGAATTACAATTATCTGTTCGAGCTTATAATTGTCTAAAACGAGCACAAATTAATACAATTGGAGACTTGTTAGAATACTCTCCGGAAAAATTACAAGAACTTAAAAACTTTGGTCGAAAATCGGCTGATGAAGTTTTCACTACTCTGAAAAATAAACTCGGAATAGTTTTAAAATAATTACTTATTTAATTAATAAATATTTTATGAATGAAACATTTATTCCAGCATCTGACTATACAAGAAAAAAATGGTATGTAATTGATTGTCAAGGTAAACAATTAGGCCGTATTTCTTCTTCAATTGTTGGATTATTATCTGGAAAAGGTAAGTCTTACTATCACCCTGCATTTGATACAGGAGATTACGTTATCTTAATCAATGCAGAAGCATTAACTGTTGATCGACACATTGAACGGGTACATGTATTCCGCCCAGGTCGTCCAGGTTCATCATTAAAACGAATTGTAAATGGTCTTCCACAACAAATCATTGAGAAATGTATTTATGGAATGATGCCAAATGGTCTTGCAAAAAAACAATTATCAAAACGATTAAAAATTTATCAAGGTGCGACGCATCCACATGCTGCGCAAAATCCAATTCAAATAGATGATATTGAGACTTTTACTAATTAATCTATAACAATTTTTATGACTACAAAACTACAAAAAGAAAACATCGGGCTTGGTAAACGCAAACGCGCAGTCGCTCGAGTATTCCTTGTTCCTGGAGAAGGAAATTTAATTATTAATAAAGTTGCTGGCGATAAATACTTACAATATAACCAAACTTATATTAATAAAGTTTGGGAACCATTAAAAAAATTAAATTTAGAAAACCAATTTGATATTATAGTATTAGTTAAAGGTGGTGGCTTAACAGGTCAAACTGATGCTATTCAATTAGGTGTTGCTAGATTAATTTGCAAAAAGGACCCAGAACACCGTGTAACGTTAAAGCCATTTGGTTTCTTAACACGCGATGCACGAATTAAAGAGCGTAAAAAATACGGTTTACGAAAAGCCCGAAAAGCTCCACAATACTCAAAACGTTAATATTATTTCTTTTAAAAATATGCCAAAAGCTGATATTCATCCAACATGGTTTGATAATGCCACTGTTTTATGTGATGGTAAACCATTATGTACAGTTGGTTCAACAAAAAAAGAATTACAAGTCGATATTTGGTTAGCAAACCATCCATTTTATAACACATCATCAGAACTTATTGATAGTGAAGGTCGTGTTGAGCGATTTATGAAAAAATACGGCTTAAATTCAACAAAATAATAAACATTTATTTATCTACAATTTTTAAGATATATGCCAACTATTCAACAATTAGTTCGTTCAAGACGAATTCAAATTAAGAAAAAGACAAAATCTCCGGCATTAGTTAATTGCCCACAACGTCGTGGTGTTTGTACACGTGTATATACAACAACACCAAAAAAACCAAATTCTGCAATTCGTAAAGTTGCCCGTGTTCGTTTAACTTCTGGGTTTGAAGTTACTGCTTACATCCCAGGAATTGGACATAATTTACAAGAACACTCTGTAGTATTAATCCGTGGTGGTCGTGTAAAAGATTTACCAGGTGTACGATACCATATTGTTCGTGGTGCATTAGATAGTGGTGGTGTAAAAGATCGTACTCAAGGTCGTTCAAAATATGGTGCAAAAAAACCTAAATAATTAATAATTATTTTTATTTTTACACCTAATAATGTAATTTTAAAAAATTACATTATTCAATTTAAATTTTTAAAACAATATCTGATATTATGTCTCGTCGAAATATTTCAAAAAAACGATTTCCAGAAGCAGATTCTACTTACAATAGCTATCTTGTAAGTTTATTAACGAGTAGAATTTTAAAATCAGGAAAGAAAAATTTAGCACAAAACATTGTAAACGGTGCTTTTGATATTATTAAAGCAAAAACGAACGAAGATCCGGTTGCTGTATTTGAACGTGCTATTCGAAATGCTAGTCCTGTAGTAGAAGTAAAAGCTCGTCGAATTGGTGGTTCTACGTATCAAGTACCAATTGAAGTTAGTGGATTCCGAGCTACTAATTTAGCTTTACGTTGGATTATTACTTATGCACACCAACGTGTAGGTCGTAGTATGTCGATTAAATTAGCAAGTGAAATTATTGACACAGCTAATGACATCGGTAATACTATTAAAAAGAAAGAAGAAACACATAGAATGGCAGATGCTAATAAAGCCTTTGCACATTTTAGATATTAATTTTTAACTAATATTTCTCGCTAAAAGCGTTTCTCATTATATTGATTTATAAACACTAAATTTTAAAGGAATTTCTAGAATGGCACGCGAAAAATTTGAACGTACAAAACCGCATGTTAACATTGGTACAATTGGTCACGTTGATCACGGTAAAACAACATTAACTGCTGCTATTACTGCAACATTAGCATTAAATGGTGAAAGTACTGCAAAAGCATATGATGAAATTGATGGTGCACCAGAAGAACGTGCTCGTGGTATTACTATTAATACAGCACACGTAGAGTACCAAACAGAAACTCGTCACTACGCACACGTAGATTGTCCAGGTCACGCTGATTATGTTAAAAACATGATTACTGGTGCTGCACAAATGGATGGTGCGATTTTAGTAGTATCTGCAGCAGATGGTCCAATGCCACAAACACGTGAGCACATCTTATTATCTAAGCAGGTAGGTGTACCTGATATTGTTGTTTTCTTAAACAAACAAGATCAAGTAGATGATGAAGAATTATTAGAATTAGTAGAATTAGAAGTTCGTGAGTTATTATCAGCATACGACTTCCCAGGTGATGATATTCCAGTTTGTCCTGGTTCTGCTTTACAAGCAATTGAAGCTATTTCAGCTGATCCAACTATTAAACGTGGTGATAACCCATGGGTTGATAAAATTTACGCATTAATGGATGCTGTAGATGAGTACATCCCAACACCTGAACGTGATACTGAAAAAACATTCTTAATGGCAATTGAAGATGTATTCTCAATTACAGGTCGTGGTACTGTTGCTACAGGTCGTATCGAACGTGGTATAGTTAAAGTAGGTGAAAGTGTTGAAATCGTTGGTTTAACTGATACTCAAACAACAACAATTACTGGTATCGAAATGTTCCAAAAAACATTAGATGAAGGTTTTGCTGGTGATAACGTAGGTATCTTATTACGTGGTGTTACTCGTGAAGATATCGAACGTGGTATGGTATTATCACAACCTGGTACAATCACACCACACACAAGCTTCGAATCAGAAGTATATGTATTAACTGTAGATGAAGGTGGTCGTCACACTCCATTCTTCACAGGTTACCGTCCACAATTCTACGTACGTACAACAGACGTAACTGGTTCAATCACACAATTTACTGACGATGAAGGTAACGCTGCTGAAATGGTAATGCCTGGTGATCGTATTAAAATGACTGCTGAATTAATTTACCCAGTAGCTATTGAAGAAGGTATGCGTTTTGCAATCCGTGAAGGTGGTCGAACAATTGGTGCCGGTGTTGTTTCTAAAATTGTTGAATAATTAAATAAATTTATGGAAATCAAAACAAATGAAAAAATTCGTGTAAGATTAGAATCTTTTAATCACGAATTGTTAACATCATCATGCAAAAAATTAATTGAATTAATTCAAACGCATGATGTAAATAAGTTTAGTATGGTTTCATTACCAACAGATAAACGAATTTATTGTGTTTTACGTTCACCTCACGTAGATAAAGATTCCCGAGAACATTTTGAAATTCGAGTTCACAAACGTGTTTTAGATATCTCTTATGATTCTAGTATTAATATGTTTGAGATCTTATCAAAATCAGACTTACCACCAGGAATTTTATACCGAATTTGTTTATCATAATTCATTTTAAACATTTTAATAGTATCTTGATATACTATTAAAATGTTTAAATTTACAATTTTATTTTTTCTTTAAATTTTTTTAAATTAACAACAAAAAATTTCTAAATCAAAAGTATACATCAATTTTTTGATTTTTAACACACCTGTAGGTATAGAAATACCTGATATTTGGGGACGGGGGGACTTGAACCCCCACGCACTATCACTAGGCAACGGATTTTAAGTCCGTCGTGTCTACCAATTCCACCACATCCCCTTAATAGATTATGATACTAATTAAATGATACATCCTATCTAATAAAAAAGCAACAATATTGAAAAATTATAATAGGCGGCACCCAGATTCGAACTGGGGATAGAGGATTTGCAATCCACTGCCTTACCACTTGGCCATACCGCCAATCTAATATTGCAAATTGCTGTTTGATCTAGTATAATATATACTAAAATATAAATCAAGCAATTGATAATCAAAATAATTAGCTGTAATTAGTATATTTAGTTTAGGGCGTGTTTAGAATAAAAGCTTTTAAAAAGTAAAGAAAGACTCGAAAAAGTCAAAAAATCAAATAAGGAGCCAGGTTAAATGTTTGAAAAATTTACGGAAGGTGCCATTAAAGTAATTATGTTATCACAAGAAGAAGCCCGACGTATGGGACATAATTTTGTGGGAACAGAACAATTATTATTAGGGGTTATTGGTCAACGTCACGGTATTGGTGCACGAGCATTAAAGAAAATGAAAGTTACTTTAAAAAAAGCTCGACGTGAAATTGAATCATATATTGGTCGTGGTACAGGTTTTGTTGCGTCAGAAATTCCTTTTACCCCACGAGCAAAACGAGTTTTAGAGATGGCTGTTCATGAAGGTAAAGACCTTGGACAAAATTTTGTTGGAACAGAACATATTTTATTAGCTTTAATTGGTGAATCAGATGGTGTCGCAATGCGAACATTAGATAAATTAAAAGTTGATATTCCTAAATTACGAAATTTAATTCTTGCATATATTGAAGAAAATCAAGAAGAAATTTTACGTCCGTTAACACAGGCAGAAAAATTCTTATTGGAACGTGAAAAGAAAGGTAGTCAAACACCTACATTAGATGAATATTCTGAGAATATTTCAAAAGAAGCGGTAGAAGGAAAATTAGATCCTGTTATTGGCCGAGATCAAGAAATTCACGAAGTAATTAAAGTTTTAGCTCGTCGAGGAAAAAATAATCCAGTATTAATTGGTGAACCTGGTGTTGGTAAAACTGCTGTTGCTGAAGGATTAGCACAATTAATTTTAACAGAAAAAGCTCCTGATTTCTTAGATGGTCAGTTAATTATGGCTTTAGATTTAGGTTCAATTTTAGCTGGTACTAAATATCGTGGTGAGTTTGAAGAGCGTTTAAAACGTATTGTAGAAGAAGCACAAAACGATGCGGCTGTTATCCTTGTTATTGATGAAATTCACACATTAGTTGGTGCTGGTGCTGCTGAAGGTGCTGTGGATGCTGCCAATATTTTAAAACCCGCATTAGCACGTGGTAAATTCCGTTGTATTGGAGCAACAACAATCGATGAATATCGTAAATACATTGAACGCGATCCTGCATTAGAACGTCGATTCCAACCTGTTCAAGTAGATGAACCGAGTGTAGCTGTAACAATTGATATTTTACGTGGATTACGTTCAAAATTTGAGCAACACCATACTTTAACGTATCACGATAAAGCTGTAGAACAAGCAGCAATTTTAGCTGACAAATTTGTTGCAGATCGATTCTTACCAGATAAAGCGATTGATGTATTGGATGAAGCTGGTTCACGAGTTCGATTAGAAAACCGTCGATTACCTTTAGGTATGAAACGATTATTGAAAGAATTACAAGATACTTTACGAGATAAAGAAGAAAGTATCAAAGAACATGATTTCGATATCGCGAAGCAACTAGTTGATCATGAGATGGAAGTTCGTACTCACATCACAATTATGAAACAAGCTGCTTTAACAAATGAGGCATTAGGTTTAACTCGTAAAGAAGTAGATACTGTTCTTGAAAATGATGTTGCTGCGGTAATTGCTGGTTGGACTGGGGTACCTGTAACTAAAATTTCCGATTCAGAATCAAAACGTTTATTAAAAATGGAAGACACATTACATGAACGTCTTATTGGACAACATCATGCAATTGTTTCTGTATCAAAAGCAATTCGTCGAGCACGAGTAGGTTTACGAAATCCGGATCGTCCAATTGCAAGTTTCATTTTTGCAGGCCCAACTGGGGTAGGGAAAACTGAATTAACAAAAGCTCTTTCTGAGTACATGTTCAGCAGTGAAGACAGTATGATTCGACTTGATATGTCAGAATACATGGAGAAACATACTGTTGCTAAATTAATTGGTTCACCTCCAGGTTATGTTGGTTATAATGAAGGTGGTCAATTAACGGAAGCAGTAAGAACAAAACCATATTCTGTGGTTTTATTTGATGAGGTAGAAAAAGCACATCCAGATGTTTTCAATTTGTTACTACAAATTTTAGATGATGGTCGTTTATCAGATTCAAAAGGTCGAGTAATTGATTTTAAAAACACATTAATTATTATGACCACTAATTTAGGTGCAAAAATCATCGAACGTGAAAGTGGTATTAAACCAAAATCAAAACAAAATAAACCAGCATTTAAAATTGATGAAGATGGTTGTGTAGGTTGGGAACCGACGCCAGAGCCAATTAAAGATGCGTCTGTTTTTGAACGCGTTACCGAATTAGTAAATGATGAATTAAAAGAATTCTTCCGTCCTGAATTCTTAAACCGTATTGATGAAATTATTGTTTTCAACCATTTAACAAAATATGATATTTGGGAAATTTGTGGTTTAATGATTAATTCATTAGAAAAACGTTTACGCGAAAAGGATATTACTTTAGAGGTGGATGTTGCTGTAAGAAGTTTATTAACTGAAGAGGGTTATGATCCGGTTTATGGTGCACGTCCATTACGTCGTGCTGTAATGCGTTTATTAGAAGATACATTAGCGCAGCAATGTTTAACGACACCATTATATCCAAAAACACGTTTAGTTGTAAAACGAGTAAAACGTGAAGGGTCATTAGTTGATTATACGAATGATGTTCAAGTAGAGATTGACTATAGTGATGTAGATCCTGAATTAATTAAAGCAGGTGAAGCAGGATTAGAAGAAAATCCATTAGAAAATCTTTCAACTGAAAATAGTTAACGGTTAATAAATTTAAAAAATGTAAATACTTATTAGTTGATAAGTATTTACATTTTTATTTACTTAAAAATTTTGTAATTATAATAATTTGCTAATATTATTTTGTGGTGAACTAGCACTGGCATAATATTTTTTTTCCATACGCCCAGCTAAATAACCAGCTCGACCAGCTTTAACTGCTAAATCCATAGCATGTGCCATTTGTTTCGGATTTTTCGCTTGAGCAACTGCCGTATTTAATAATACAGCATCAGCTCCCAATTCCATTGCTTTTGTAGCTTCACTTGGTGCGCCAATTCCCGCATCAACAACGACTGGAACAGTAGCATTTTCAATTATAATTTGAATATTTGCTAAATTATTTAAGCCTTGCCCCGATCCAATTGGTGAGCCTAATGGCATAACGGTAGCACATCCTAGATCTTCTAAATGTAATGCTAACATTGGATCAGCATTAATATAAGGTAAAACCGTAAATCCTTTTTTTACCAAGAATTCCGCAGCTTTTAACGTTCCAACCGGATCGGGTAAAAGATACTTAGGGTCAGAAATAACTTCAAGTTTTACAAAATAATTATCTTCTTGACCTAATTGACATGCCAATTCATGACCTAAAAAAGCCATTCGAATAGCTTCCTCGGCCGTTTGTGAACCTGCCGTGTTTGGTAAAAGCCACAATTTATTCCAATCTAATGATTTTAAAAACGTAGTATTGTCATTATTTAAATCTGTAGGTAAACGACGAATTGCTACAGTTACTAATTCACAGTTACTGCTCTCTATACTTTCAATTGCCTGATCTTGTGTACGATATTTACCCGTTCCAAGCATTAATCGAGAGCTAAATGATTTATTTCCAATTTGTAATTTATCAAAATTCTCTTGCATAGTTTTTTTGTTTATTTATACTCCCCAGGTAGGATTTGAACCTACGACCAATCGGTTAACAGCCGATTGCTCTACCACTGAGCTACTGAGGATACTCTAATTACTTATATTTTATCATAGGTGTTTTCAAAATTCAAGTAAATTATAAAAATTTATAATATTTATAATTATAAATTTTTTGAACCTACTTTTTTATTTAAAACTAAAAATCTTAAAACGTTAGAATCTAATTTTAAACTATTCGAAAATTCTTCAATATTTTTTGGAAGACTTGAAAAATTAATTTGAATGAAGTTTCCACGTTTTTGGTTTTTAATCATATAGGCTAAATCACGTTTTCCACGAGAAATTACAGAAATTTCTGATGCACTTAATTTACGTAATGCTTTTGCATAATTAAAAGCCCATGTTTTTAATTCACTATCATTAAATTCTTCTGTAAGAAGAATCATCATTTCATATTTCATTGTTGCTGACATAATATATAGTATATCCAATTCTCAAAATTAAAAATATAATACTTATAAGTTAATAACAATGTCAATTTTAATTTTGTATCAATTTCTTGAATAAATATATGAACTGTTTATTGAAATTATTCATTTAAAAATATGAAAAAATTATCGAGAAAAGTAGTTAAATCGGTCCGGTTTTTAGTAGAATTATATATTGTAAAACAATTTATCTAAAAAATTTATTAAAAAATCAAATGGATTGGGATACTCTTCAAAATTCGGCATCTAATATAGTTTTTGGAATTTTATTATTTGCAATGACTGTTTATTGGGTTAGTTTATCTTTTTTTAAAGGAACCAATAATTTAGTTTTAATCGGACGAATTAGTTCATTCACGGCAAACATATTATTATTTTTAATTTTAGCCTCGCGCTGGATTGTTGCAGGTTACTTTCCATTAAGTAATTTATATGAATCTTTATTATTTTTAACGTGGACACTTTTAACGATTTATTTATATATTGAAAATAAAACGAAAAGTAAGTTAATGGGTGCTGTTTTAATTCCTGTTGCTTTATTAATTACAGGATTTGCCAATTTGACATTATCACCTGAAATGCAAAAAGCAAGCCCTTTAGTGCCTGCTTTACAATCAAATTGGTTAATGATGCATGTTA